CTAAACCCTAAACCCTACACCGAAAGGCAGGGAGATGATACTCTTGGCTCCATGAGCACCGACGAGGCAGGCAGCACAGGCACCTCGTCTGAGAGGCAGTCAGCCGGCCGGAGCCGCCAGAGCCAAAATCAGTCATATTAAGCTACCTGAACCCCAAAAGTATGTAGAATAATGGCCTTATGGGCTATATTTAGGGGTTTTGGGCCATTATTTTACCTACTTTTGGGGTCCAAAATCAGTCATATAAGCTATAGTACCAATTTGGGTTCAGGGTTTAGGGTTTAGGATTTAGGATTTAGGGTTTAGGATTTAGGGTTCAGGGTTTAGGGTCTAAACTCCTTAAAGGGGGTTCTGTAGAGGATTATATATGGAAGTATTATAGGGGTCATCAAGGGGGATACTTGGAGTTTAGATTAATTATAGCTCATAATATGGGGGTTTCCATAAATCAGAGGCCCATCTTGGGGCCTTTCCATAAAGACAGGATGATAGCATATTGGGATCTTTTCTTGAGTCCCCTATTTGTATTCTTGGAAACTGCCATATCTGCCAAAGGTGCAATGAGAACATCAGCAACGGCACGGCTGTTCTTCAATGGGCCACCTAAAAACAGCTGTAAACACACGTAACGAGGCGTCGGCGGTTGCTCACGTTTTGGTGACTTCAGATTCACAAAAACCCTAAGCCTTAAACCCGCAGCTGTTCGGTAAGCCATCCAGAATTTCTAATGCAGGTGCAGCTTTAGAACGTAAGGCGCAGTCTCATGGCTTCCCCTGTGCCGGCTTAAGCAGTGTACCCTAAACCCTAAATCCTAAATTCTAAACTCTAAACCCTACATCCTAAACCCTAAACCCTAACTCCTAAACCCTAAACCCTAAGCCAGTGTCAGGCGCCTGAGCGAGCATGTACAGCCCTAGCTGAGCGGTATGGGCTGAAGACCATGCGATGCGTGCAAGACTTGTGCAAAGCTGCAAAAGAAGATGCAGTGCGCCTTCTTTCTTTTGCATTGAGAATAAAAGCCATAATAGTAATAATAGTAGTGATAATTAATAAGAATAATCGTTGTAATAGTGCTAGTTGTAAGAATAACAGTGCTAGTAATGCAAAAGTAATGTGAATAGTAAGCAAAAAGAACAGTTATAATGGTGGCGACAGGTCCCCCCGTCCACTGACCTGAACCAGCTGTCTCCCATCATGCGGCGGCACTACAGGCTTGGGCACGCCTAGTCAGGAGGCTCAAAAGGAGGGAAATGAGGTAGGTGGGTCTAAAGGATCCCTGTTGTAGATTCCCATATATTGCGTTTGTTTTGTCCCTAAACCCTCAAACCTAACCCTAAACCCGAAACTTAGAGTCCCTTAAGTAGATAGAATACGGTTTTGGGTATGTTATGATAAGGTCCCCATATACGACATATTCTATCTACTTAAGGAGGACTATATACCCTACCTTCCTTTACCTCACCTTCTGAGCCCCCTGAAGCTTGTGTTTTGGGTTTAGGGTTTAGGGTTTAGGGACCCTAAACCCTAAACCCCTGCACCCTGAACCCTAGGGTTTAGGGTTTAAGGTTTAGGGTGAAGTTTGATGCGCTGCTCTGTGGAAGGCCTGCAGCGAACTGGGATCAGGCCGTGCGGAGCGCTGAAATTTCGATCAAAGTCCTTAGGTCTAGGGTTTAGGGTTTAAGGTCGGAAAGCAGTGAAGCTATAACTTAGGAGGACCCCCGACCCTTTAATAGTGGTATAATAAGAATATAAGAGGACCCTAATTAACACCAAGTTAGGGGTATACACCCCAATAATGGAGAATCAAATGGAGAAGAAGATGAAAGATGAAATGGAAACTGGGTTATATAGGGGTTATAAATAACTTACCTATACCCCCTTATAGTTCCTCCTATACATAGCACTTAGGTCCTAACACTTAGTGTTTTGTAATCAATCTGTTTATAATCCCCCTTAAGTAGATATACTATGGAATTGACCAATATCATAGCAAGATACACATATACCCCATATCCTATCTACTCAAGGGGGACTCTAAACCCTAAACCCTAAAGCCTGAGCCGTGTGGAGGTCCTGGAGCAGCTCCGGGCTAAACCTCCCCTTGGCCTGCACCAGCCCCTTGTCTTGTTTCAGCCCAGCTGACAGGGTAGGTTTGGGGGAGGTTTAGGGCTTAGGGTTTGAGAATAGGTTGTAACCCATTCGGTATTAGGGATTTTTGCCCTTAATCCCTAATCACTGGTCCCAAAACCACCCCAGCTAAGGCCAATCTATATGTCCTTTTTGATGTGACTTACACTCTAAACCCTACCTAAACCCTAAACCCTAAACCCTAAAGCCCTAAACCCTAAACCGCAAGGTTGGTGCATTTGTTGACTCCTCCAACGCCCAGGCCATTTAGACATGCTTTGGCTGCAGCAGCATTGTAAACTCATCGAGGGTAAAGCCTTAAGGGTTTAGGTTTAGGGTTTAGGGTTTTGGGTTTAGGGTTTAGGGTTTAGGTTTATTGTCAGTACTACACTACAGTCTATGATTCGTATCAACATTAGTTGTCTTTTTATTATTGCTACTCGTCTTATGTTTTTGTACTACTATTACAGCTATTCATGCTATGAACACTGTTTTCTTCTTATTTTCTTTTACCATTGTTGAGATTCTGTTTCTTACAAGTATTCTTGCTATTAACATTTTTGTTTAATAATATTGTCATTCCTACTATGATTTTTCTTATCATTATTATCATTGCTGTTGCTTTTATCACTCTTATTAGCTGGGTACGGCCCCCACTCATTAAGAGTCGGATAGCACATATCATATCATATATATATATACACTTATATAGAGCCCTTAATGCGACCCGATTATGACTGCTCATGGGGGAGGACCCAAATCATGTTGAGTATTCCCTAAACCCAAAACCCTAAACCCAAAACCCTAAACCCAAAACCCTAAACCCAAAACCCTAAACCCAAAACCCGAAACCCTAAACCCTAAACCATACACCCTCAGCCCTCAACTCTTCCTTCGTTTGCTGGGCTGGCAAGGGCCAAGCCGCAGCCCGCGCCTAGAGCCGGGAGCTATGCGACAGCCTGCATAACATACGGGGATCATATGTGCTATAGGGGGTTACTATAAGGGATTATATAGGGTTTAGGGTTTAGGGTTTAGGGTCTAAACTCCTTAAAGGGGGGTTATATAGGGGATCATATAGGGAACTACCACAGGGGTTATTAAGGGGGATACTAGGAGTTTAGACTATGGCTCATATTGGGTTCAGGGTTTAGGGTAATATATATGTATATAGGAGTGAACGATAAGGATTATGTGTATATACATAATATATATATATGTAGACCATATGTAGGGATTACATATTATGTAAGGAGTACATGAATCTGAACATGAACAAATTATATATAATGTATATATATATAGAGTATATATATATAATTTGCTCTCATATATATATACATATACTATATATAATATGAGGGTTATATGTGGAGACAATATATGCATTGGAAGATATATATATATATATCGATATAGATATGAACGTTATGTATAAGGATTATATAGAGACCATATATAGGGATTATGTATATAAGGTATTAGAATATACCCAAAGCCAGAATCTGTCTACTTAAGGGGGACTAAAGCTAGCAGCTCGGAATGAAGGAACAGATTTCTACAGTAGTCCCGATATACCACTGTATAGTAGTTTCCATTTTCTTTTCCATGTCTGCATTCCCAGCTAACCACAGGGTGACAGAAACAATTGTGGCATCAGGCATATAGTCCCCCTTAAGTAGATAGAATATGGCTTTGGCTATATCAGAATAAGATCCCCATATAGCCTATATTGTATCTACTTAAGGGGGAGTATAAGTCTACTCTGATCGTGCAAAGGTGGGTGCAAGGCCACCTGGTCCATGGGAGCGAACGGTGCGCCTTCAAGTTAGGGTGTAGGATTTCGGGTTTACTGTTTAAGGTTCAGAGTTTAGGGTTTGGTTTATTCTGAGTGCTCATGCAAACGTTGCAGGAACTGTCTGGAACAACGCTGTCTTCAACTCAGCCAGCGTTGGCTGCCGAGCGGGGTGCAGGGTTTACGGTTCGCATGCAAAAAGGCTTTAAGGTTCAGGGTCTGGTTTTTTTGGGTGCTAGATCAGCAGAGTCTGGATACAAAAAGGGGTTCAGGGAACCTTATTAGGCCTTATTCAACCCTGTATAGTCCTTCTTAGCTCCCCCAATCGCTCCCCCAAAATGGCAGAACTCTGGAACCCTAACCCTAGACCCTAAACCTTACCGCTGAGCTCAGAAAGCTCGACGCACCTGAGGCCTGCGCTCCAGTGGTCGAGCACGGGCCGCCCAAAGCTGGCAGCGAAACTCAGAAGCTCACTACAAGGGTTTAGGGTCTAGAGTTTAGGGTCTAGGGTTTAGGGTTTAGGGCTTAGGGGCTGGGGTTTAGGGTTCAGGGTCTGGGGCTTAGGGTTTACTAGTGGCAGTGATCGTAGGAAGGAGAATACAAGAACAATAACCGTAACGATATGTAACAATACTACTACTACTACTACGACGACGACGACGACGACTACTACTACTACTAGTAATAATCATGATCATAGTAATAGTATTACGAATAGATAGAACAATTATTATAATGACTACCCTTCTTATTCGTATTCGTAATGTGGGCAGCGATTCTGGGTGTGGGCAGGGGTGGCGGGGGAAAGCTTAGGTGTTGAAACAGGTTCTTTGGGGATACTATAGGCCCCAACAGCGTTCACTTAGGGTTTAGGGTTAGTTAGGGCTTAGGGTTTAGTTAGGGTCTCCAAGAATTAGGGGTACCATATTTGGGGGTCCCCATACTAAGGATTTGAGGATTTTTGGGGTCTATATTGGGGTCCTCTTATTTGGAGAAATTACCATTTGGGGATACTATAGCTGCCTCGCGCTTGATTCAATGACAGTGATGTCCGAGAAAAATATTCTAGTCCCCAAAATAGAGCAAGTTTGTACCCTCCTGTTGGCTATGCTCCCTAAACCCTAAGCCCCTAG